CGACTACATTATACAAAATCTCCACTATAATACATATACATGTCTGTAGGTCTATAAAACCTGAGTAGTAAAGCATTGAATTTTTATCAAGTTAGAGTTTGGAGAATATGTGTTCACTACTTTACCCTGCTTATAAGCATCTATACTAACTGGCTTGGGTTAAGAAGTTAACGTTATGTCCACATTTTGCCAATAATATATATACTAAGTTATTGATTTAATTAAGGCAACAATTGATTATTGTAGACTATTTTAAGATAACTATTTTGTTTGTCACTCAAATCATTAACCGATTGTTATCTGTCATTTAGTGAACTGAAAGATCATGAATTAAATGGAAAAAAAGTGAAAATAAAAACGTTTGGTGAAAAATTATACCATTTAAGATACCCTAATAAAATCATTCACAATGTTATTAGTATGTAATGCAAAATGAATGTTACTTATTTTTCGTTCAGTTCACTTATAAATGTACATCAAATAGGTCTAATGCCTCTAAATGCCGTAGGATGGCAGAGAGTGGGGAGAGTCAGCTCTTTCTCTCCACATGCTCTCACATGATCACAGACATACAACCACTGTCAGGGAAGTCCTAATCACTGCATTCTCGCACCACAGGTGTTGTTTACGAAACTGATAGGAAGAAAAGCCTATTTCCAATGCTTCAACGGGAATGGTGGATACAAAGTATCCACTTAGAGGAGTTGGAAAATCTTGATTCCAAACCAATGGTTCACATGGCCCCCAGGATCCTGAAGGAATAATTGGCGCATGAACCGATTGTTGGTCACCGGCTACCATGAGACTACATCTACTGGTGTTGCTCCACTGCTTTGTGAATTAGACATTTAGGTCGAAGGCTCAGGGCATGGCCCCCTTAGAGAACTACCTGATTCGGTTTGGGCACCCAGGCAGTAATCCTAGCCCTCATACAAATCGAATGATTTATGTGGCCTTCTACCAATGTCTATGTGTTTAAATAAAAATAAAGGTCTAATAAGAACTAGAAGGTAACATTAACACATATTATGTTAGATTTCCAGACTACTTAGAAGGTTTCATCTCCAATCTAGTGGAATAGCATCATATTTCTTAACAAATAGGAAACACTTAGATCATTGAGTAAGGGTTCATTGTTGGATATTTTAAGCAATTTATTTTGTTATAGGCTATGAAAAGCCTTATCAAGTAAACATAAACACAACTTATCTTTTCATATGAGATAATCATCAAACTCTTATAAATGTTATGTACTTCTTTCATAAAACAGCTTAATGTCCCTATAGAAACTAAAGAAAAACTCCTAGAGTTCTAGTGAGAAGCCGTCACCAGTGGAGTTCAACCGGTCTGTTGTGAGATAACAACTCACTGAAGACAATGGTGTACGGTGGCGCAACTTCGTGGATTGGTTGAAGTTAGACATTAACACCGTTGGATGCTGGCTCAATGGTCTAATGGTTAAGTGCTCGCGCGCGAAGCCAGTAGGTCCTGGGTTCGAGCCCCGCGTGGTGCGGGTTCGTGGATGCGCACTGCTGAGGAGTCCCATACCAGGACGAAACGGCCGTCCAGTGCTTCCAGGTTTTCAATGGTGGTCTAGCTTCAAATGACTCATGATTTAAACCTGTGAAATTTCTTAAAAATTCTCCACAAAACCCATTCTGATAATTCATATGTATCTCGACATTTAGATGATCCAATCCATCGTTTCATTATGTCAGTTTTCATAGATAGTAGATAAATCATTTGTTTTAATGAGCTAAACTAAATATAACAATCAACAAAATTAAAACCAAATTAAGTCACATGTTTAAAAGAAGAATATTAACTGGATTATTCACAAGGCTAGTCAACCCTAATAAGTACAACCAGGTCTGTTGTGAGATATCAGCTCACTGAAGACAATGGTATATGGTGGCGCAACTTCGTGGATTGGTTGAAGTTAGACATTGACACCGTTCGATGCCGGCTCAGTGGTCTAGTGGCTAAGTGCTCGCGCGCGAAGCCGGTAGGTCCTGGGTTCGAGCCCCGCGTGGTGCGGGATCGTAGGTGCGCACTGCTGAGAAGTCCCATACTAGGACGAAACGGCCGTCCAGTGCTTCCAGGTTTTCAATGGTGGTCTAGCTTTAACTGACTCATGATTTAAAAATGTGAAGATAATTGTATGTATATAATTATTATGTATATAATTATATGTATATCTTGAGCATACTGCTATAGGATAAAGAGAAAATTTTGTAATCTGACTTTATGCTTAAGCAGTTCTTTTTAGGAGCTAAAAAGCACACCGTCCAAAGACTTGATCACGGGTTTGAACAATAATCTATTTACTTCAAGTTTGGTAGAGTGGGGACAATATTAAGAAACGTTTTAACACACCTTAATTCGAATGTAAATACATGAAATTATATTTAGTTATCACTGAAAGATTCGAACCCACATTAACCATTGACTTGAAAAGTTCAGATTCTGAAATCAAGTATCTCATGTTCGAGCCTTAGGGTGGGTATCAATTTCAACTCAATACTTTAGATTCATCTTGCTATCTGTTCATGAAATCAACCTCCTAATCACTAAAATATATCTTAGTGGAAGTACACTTCTCTCTGCTAATTCTATGAGTGGTAAAATCGAAACTTCATGCATGACTTATAACCAAATAAAATAATATATTAAATTGGGAATATTTATTTAAAAACGAAATCATTATTTATCAGATATTCGTAAGCACTCAAATTCATATTTAAAGCATTGCAAACTTGGTTTAAAATAGATATATTAAGGAGTGTCTGAATTTTTTGATCCATGAAAAGTATTCAGTGTAATATCATCCAATCCTTGGTTCTTACTGAATCTCATAAGATCAGTTTTAGAATGTATCCAATTGATTAACTGACTCAAAATGTCAGTGGACGTTTATTTGATGTTAAACTACTGAAAGAAGTTGATGGTGAACCCTAGACAAAGGTTTAGTGCTAGTTTATCGATTAGCTCAAAACATACACTTCTTACAGAATGATAATCGTTATTCATTATGCTCCCATGAAAATGATTCTGATTATATCACTAAAATAATTCATTTCGGGTTTCTTGTGGAGTAAAGAGCCTTCTACCATTCTAAATAAGCCTTAACATCAAACCTACGTTACATTGGGTTGTCTATTGGTTGCCTTAAACTACCTTCTAAACAAATAAATATTTGCACTAGTTGTAATAAACAGATGGATCCGAATTCAAATGATCTAAAAACTATTACGTTCCTTATGAGTTTTCATCATATTGAAAGATTGACCTGTAATCAATTTTAATCTACAGTCTATTATGAAATCAGTGATATAATTCTATCATGAGCTTAACTTATGAAAAACTAATTATGTTACTTACAAAACTAGTTAGTAGCTTGTATATATTTGAAAATATTTTTTGTGTCCATTCATCTATATCTATGATTACAAACTCGAAACGTTTTTACAGTTTACACAAATACAGCACAGTACTAGAGCAAGGTTTTAATTATATATCTGATCTATACGTGGTTTGATGATGAAAGAAATCGCAGTATTTATAGAGATGTGATCAAATAATGAGAAGTAAGTGGTTCAGTGGTCAAGAGGTTAAGCGTTCGCGCAAGAGACTGATAGGACCTCGGTTCAAATCTCGCAAGGCAGGATCGTGGATGAGTATTGCTGTGGAGTCCTACAATAGAACAAAACGGCCGTCCAATGATTCCAGGCTTTCCACAGTGGTCTAGCTTCTATTGACTCATGATCTCAACTATTAAAATAATAATAGTTAGTCTCGTTTGAAAATTTCTTTTAATAATTCTTCCAGTGTTACAGATTCTTATCACAAACATATAAATTATAAAAACAAAGCAGAATATCAGATATGATGCATAGTTTAAAATGAGGCAGTTAAGTAATTTACAATTAATGATAATCTATACCACAAACTGATTACAGCTAGACAAATCTATAAGATGAAGAGCAATATACGATTGTTTTAACCTAGTATGAAACGATTAATTGGTGTAAGACACACAATCCGTACGAAGGATCCAACGTAACAGGTTTATACCCGCCGAAAGATTTGGTGGATACCTGGAGACTTAGAAATTTGTTGGATAACATGTTGGTTTTTAAGACCGTCGGCATATTCTCAAATTATAGTAAGATCATCATACCAGTAAGTTGGCACAAAGAGCTGACGAGTTCCATATAAAAACGAAATATGAATTTTGATCTGGAAAAAATTGTATAACTATTTTGGAGAAAATCATGATCAACTAGGTGCGCTTTTAGTCTAAATGTAAAGACATTTCAACAACTCATATTCATAAATTCATACTTTATCAGACTAAGAAATTTTAAGTTTTGTTAAGAGCTCGATTTTGCATTCATATCCAATGGTTGATGTTCTCATTTTAAATGAATTAATGATATTATATTTGTTAATACTCAACTATCACCATCTATATATACTGTTATAACCGGATAGACCCAAGAAGACGTAAATAGTTTTGAAATAGCTATGTTCAATTCTTCTTGGCTATCAACGAGTCTCAATTACATATCAGTCCGTGGGGAAAATAAATGCACTTGGAATCAATGATATATTTATCATGAATTGATTGATACGCTCTAGTATTCATGGAGTAGTTAGTTTATGTCTACATATTTCTCATAGACCTAATCGAATCTATGAAAATAACCCCTCATTATCATCGTTTAAAATTCAGGCTAACTGTAATTTATAACAATAAACATTTTCAATTATTAGAGCTTATATAACGATGATGTATACGACACACTACAACATTTAAAGTTTATTATGTTTGTTTGTTTTTTGATAAAGAGTAAATTAAAATTACAACAATAAACAACATTCATATAAATTGTTATTACAGAATATATACAAAGAGACAATCAATGTACAACGAGGGCTTTTATAATCAAATAACAACATGTATATGATTAGGTACAACAGCTGAGTAAACCACGGACCTGTACGACGTTCCATATCAGCAGTTTTTACTTGTAATGGTCTTGCCATCTAAAGAAAAGAGCAATGGTTACAGTATTTAAATATAGTAATTTTTATGATTTTATAAAATATATACTACTGATATATTGTAAAGGTAGGCAAACTAATCAAATGAAATTTTTCGATCATATTGTTATGAACAAAACCTGTGTATTCCATACCCAATTAGCGAGATATATTGATGAGAACTTGGTAAGTTCAGGCAAATATTTCATCTTATCAAAATATCAAAAGGATATTGCGTCGATATTGGATTTTGGATTCTTTTTTTTTTGTAAATATAAAGTCACAATAAAGTTTAAATTTCCCTTTTAAGGACAGGATACATTAGAAATTAAGAATAATCATAAAGGTCAATGTTATTTACTCTAGTAGAATAATATATTGTTTATATTCTACTAGAGTAAATTGAATTTCAGGTCATTAAAAAAAAGATGACACAAATTATAGTTTAAAAAACAACCTGAATAGAATAAAAAATCATGGCTAAATTTCAATTCAGAGTTTAGTTAATTATAAATGAGGGATTGATATATTACTGATGAACTTAATATAGAAATGATTTATAAAAAAGCCTGTTACATTTATCTGATAATTTCTATTAGTGAATGTCACAAAGTTAAATATGAAAATAACTAGTTCACAGTTAGATAGATAGATATATATATTTGATATTTTATCATTTCATAGCGGAGAATTCCATTGCAAACAAGCCGAGGTATATTCAACGCACTGAGAAGTATAGATCAGAGCTAACTATACTTCCATGATTTAGATGGTGGTTGGAGGTAGTCAACAGGAAACCCTGGACCCGGGTTTCGTGCTATTTGGCACTCTTCAGCAAGGTGTACCTGTAATCTTGAGGGAACTGGTGCTCCCTGGCAGATTCGATCTCGTGTCACCCAGCTTCACAGTCAGAGATGTTACCACTGAGCTATCAATTGTAATTACATCTCAGTCCTACAGGAGGTTAGTCACAGCTCGGATAGCTCAGTGGTAACGTCTCTGACTGTGAAGCTGGGTGACACGAGATCGAATCGGCCAGGGAGCACCAGTTCCCTCAAGATTACAGGTACACCTTGCTGACGAGTGCCAAGTAGCACGAAACCCGGGTGCAGGGATTCCTGTTGACTACCTCCAACCACCATCCAAATCTCAATACATTGTGCCCGCAGTGTCGAGTCACCTAGACTGGTGGCCACATTGCAACATGATCGATAGCATTGGATCTGCACTAATGAGGACTGGACAAGCATGACATTGATCACCACCCAGTGATCAATCAATTGTAAATACTTCCATGATGTCGTGAAAATAGAGAGTGAAGTTATCTGTGGCTTCGTGAAACGTCGCAACTATAAACACTGAATTTCTTCACTCCCCTTAAACTTTCTTGAAACAAGTCTATCTTCTCTTATCAATCGCGAGTTTGATCATATTCGTAGATTCTTACGAAATGAAATTGTACACAGATAACATCAGCATCGAGAACCCTGATGGTTAGTGCATGCTAGCGAGTTAGAAATTGCATCTGCATCTGATAACTGAATGGATAAGTCTACTTGCAGTTGCATCCAAACTATTGACTCCTGTCATGCTTCATAGGCCAACAATCGTCGTGTGTCTCGATATCAGGACCCCATTGGATTTGTTTTACAGGACCGTTTTCTGTGACTGTCTGCAGAAGAAAAGTGTGTCTGTGACGTTTTGTTAACATATAGAAGTCCCTGTAAACAAACACTCCAGACATAGTAAGGATGTGCAAGCGCGACTGTTCACTGTTCCATTCGAGCAGTGGGTATAGACAGGGTTGTCCAATTCTTCCATCCCTCTTCAAATATACTATTGATAACATTCAAGAAACAGCTCAGATGGACGTAGTTAGTGGTGGTGTGCATCTGTTAAATGGAGACTTTTCGATTTTGAGTATGTAGATGAAGTTGTCTTATTGTGCAATGATTCCCGAGCAATGCGATTAGCACTTAATCAGTTGACGATCAGTATCTGAGGATGTGGCATGTGCTTGCATATTCTCAGAGCACAGAACGCTAGAAAGACTGAAAGAAGTATGTGCCTAAAATCACCCTTGTTGGCGAGCAGTTAAAAGTGGTTGAGTAGTTCGTGTATTTTGGTTGGTGGTGGAGTGTATGTTGAGATTAATATACGCCTAGTGAAAGGCAGAACAGCTTATATTGATCCGGAACACAGTGACTTGTGTAAGCCTGAACCAGTTTTTTAGCCTTCGTGAGGTCCATCTGTCTGCGTGAGGTTAGGTGTACAGCTCATCACTGAGATCGGTTCCGTTGCGTGTTGATGAAATCTGACCTCTCCGAGCTGAGGATGTGATTCAACTTTGTATTCGATGGTCATTGTCTGCGAAAGATTGTTGACATTCAGTGGTAATGTCATATCAGTAATGCAGAGATTCAACAGTGTGTGTGTGTTCCGTGACAGTGACGTTAATTCAATTGGTGCCACCGTCATGAAACAACGACTTCTGTGACTTGAATAACTGTTATGAACATCATCTAACTAAATTGAATATAATGAATTTATTTAACTACACTGGGACTGGTTAGAAAAATGATTAGATTGTCGGTGTATGACATGGTGTCATGGTATAAGGGAAAAGTGTACAGCACTGGTATCTACCCTTCACAACTCTATGGTTTTGATTCTAGAGTTAGTGCAACTTAGTGTCTTGAGACGTTACGAGATGTGACTCAGACTAGAAGCTAGTAGAGATCGTGTTGTAACTTTCTTCCATGTTTTTCATATAAATGAGAAGAACCTGTTTAACTGAAAAGATCCTTTCTTAATCGATCTGCTTCTGCTAGTATTTTTTTCAAAACTCTCATTCTCTATCTCTTTACCTTCCCATCTTCTTGTTGTGACCTGCCAATACCAATAACAATTCATTAATCAACTACACATTGAACCAACAATCATCAAAACTCATTATGAACGCTTAATCATTAAAATCATTGTGTTCAATGGCCATTATTCATTTCATTGGAGACAACATCTTTATTCCAGACATATTAATTATTACTAAGCAGTTGATTATAGTTATTACAAAATGTTATGAAGATCTTTAACATGAACGACGATGACATCAATTGCATGATCGTCACTTTCACGGAATACACACACACACAGTGTTGAATCTCTGCATTACTAACATGGCATTATCACTAAATATCAATAGTCTTCCAGAGATAATGATAATCGAATACATAGTTCGTTCATATCTTCAGCTTAAAGAGATCATATTATAAAGTGATATAAACAACAACAGAAATGATAAAATATTAAATTTTTAAATCAATGCTAAAACTATTCAAATAAACCAATCTACATTGTTTACAATAGAGACAAAAAAAAATTCAATTCTATGAAAAAATAAATTTCTTTCAAACTTCCTATCCATTAACCATTATCTTTTCCGCCTTTATTTTTCTTCTTCTTTCTTTTAAAAAATGAAAAACAATTAAAAAAAAATATAAAACACCTAATTTGATATAAATTTGATGCTTTTTTTAAAAAAAGAAAAAGAAAAAAGAAAAAGAAGAAAAGGAAAAAAGAAAAAGAAAAAGAAGAAAAAGAAAAAAGAAAAAGAAAAAGAAGAAAAAGAAGAAAAAGAAAAAAGAAAAAGAAAAAGAAGAAAAAGAAGAAAACTATTCAATATTTAAAAAAAAAATTTATTTAATACTTCCGATGAATTGAATAAATTTACTTTTATATTCATTCAGTTACCTTTATTTATACATATCCATTGATTCATTTAAACAAACAAACAAACAAACAACAATAACCCTATTATGTTTGTTTTAATTTTTTTCTCCCAAACTATTCTCAACTATACGAAATATGGGCTAATAATGAATTATGAAACAATATGAATTAAATACATTAATATACATTAATATATATATGTAATGAAGAGTAGTTTTTTTCTATGTAAACAATTTCAATATGTATTAGGTTAATATTTCACATGGAAACTATACATAAACATGATGAATACATTTAAATGAATTCAATATGAGCGCTTTTTTTAAAAATATTTTTATGTTTCAATCATTGAATTGACCGATTATGGTTTACTTAGATACTCAAATGATAAAATATATCTATGAAGATTTTTTTTAAAAAATATGGAATATTCAAAAAAATTTTTTATAATTTTTTTCTCTTTCCATTACTTATTAAGTTTATCATGTGAAATTTATTAGTTGTATATTATAAAAGTAAAATATCCATGGAAATTATTTAAGGGAAGTAGAAAATAGAAGTTGACTAAAATCTAAGGTCATAGATCTCTAGCATCATACTACTGTATTATACTCACTAAAGGGTTTTAATATTAGCTGGGATGGGATATCGTATATGAGGCCATGCATATATATATATATATATATATATATATATATATATAAACAGTGTAGCAGTAGCCTCATCAGCAGTAGGTCTCAATATACACAAAGGGAAGAGCAAGGTTCTCCGATACAACACAGCATGCACCGATCCAATCACACTTGACGGAGAAGATTTGAAAAATGTAAAAACCTTTACATATTTGGGCAGCATCATAGATGAACAGGGTGGATCTGATGCAGATGTGAAGGCGCGGATCGGCAAAGCAAGAGCAGCATATTTATAACTGAGGAACATCTGGAACTCAAAGCAACTGTCAACCAACACCAAGGTCAGGACTTTTAATACAAATGTCAAGACAGTTCTACTGTATGGGGCGGAAATTTGGAGAACTACGAAAACCATCATCCAGAAGATACAAGTGTTTATTAACAGTTGTCTACGCAAAATACTTCAGATCCGTTGGCCGGACACTATTAGCAACAACCTACTGTGGGAGAGAACAAACAAGATCCCAGCGGAGGAAGAAATCAGGAAGAAGCTCTGGAAGTGGATAGGACACACATTGAGGAAAGCACCCAAATGCGTCACAAGACAAGCCCTCACATGGAATCCTCAAGGCCAAAGGAAAA